GTGCATGTTTGATACGGCGCGGTTAGCTTAGAGTTGTGATATGAGTTTGAATTGTCTGTACGGCTGAATCGTTTGTAATGCGTACTTCTTGAGTGATAGGACCGAGCTTGTATCTGTTCGGAAGATCCGTTCAATAATTGCTGCTGGAACAACGTGAAATGATGATTCCAAGATAATCGGACAACCTAGATTGCAAACTGTGCACTGAGTTTAGATGGGGCACAGGCATTTAGTTGATGGTGAAGGAAAAATGGTTTACAATAAAAAGAATATTTACTCAGATAAAATGAGATAGCAGTTTGGCAGAATTTTAAAAATACAAATTTTTTTCAGGCGGAAATCTACGATTCAGTCGGAATAAATAAGAGGAGAGCTTGGGCTTAGGAATTATTTGACCTCGGGTTCGAATCCAAGTTTGCGAGAACTATGGGAAACAATGGCAGAAGATAATGTAACTATCATATGTTGCATGAATAGTTAGTGATCAAGTGGTATAGCCAAATGATACATCGGAATACAGTATCATTTTACAACTTTTCTTATTGAAAACTTCCTAATCACGAAACGGACTGTTTAATCATCTGCATGAAAAAAGGAAATGGAAAACTTATTCTTTTTATCATTTTAAGGAAGCGCATTCCACACACGTGAAAGTACTACAAGTCTGAAGGGGCATTTTTAAGTACCCATTTTAGTAGGTTTTCATAGTATGTAGTTTTCCTTCAGTCCTTTCCCGAAGACAGAGTCAGGCTTCTGTATGTTCCTTAAAAGGCTTTTACTGAATTTTCAGTCTCAAGAGATCATAAACAACCGAAAGAAGGTGGAAGGGTTTAACTAATTTTGGATCGGATCCCCACAGGCTCCACCACATTCTGAAACTTCCTTATGAGGATTGAAACACCGCCCTAGAACAGTGCAGGCTAAGGAACCATTATACTGGTGGCGTCATCAAGTAAATCAAATAGTACAAATAATGCCTACAGTATTCAATTTCACCTCACACCTCATTGATTGGAAATCTGGTTAGACAAATCACATGAATTCACTATAAGGTTACGGGCAATAGCTCAGCAAACGCTTTTACAAAAGTTCCTTGTAGCGCGTGTTACTTGAATGCCACCTTACTACACCAATTTGCGATTGCATATCAATTCTTAGACTATTCGAGCCCATGCCATGGTATTCTACTTACGTACTCGTCCCCCAGTTTAGCTACCTTTGCATAATTTGCCATCCTGCATAAAAACGTTTAGGGTTCCTTGTAGCAGTTGATATCATGCCCTTCAATGTTTGATGCCACTAAAAGCATATATCATGCCTGAAATTTGAGGGGGTACGGAACTTTGGTTTGGGAACCCTGGTAAAATTCCCTTGAAGATAAACATATATGAGAAATTCTATACCAACTTGACAGAAATCTCACAAATGCAACCGCATTGTATACCAAAGTGGTAAATATCATGCCATATCACTATGAACACCTATAGGATACTGATTTTCGTTGAATGACCTATTCACAAAGCTTCCATAAAAATATGCCGTGGTCTTTCCTTCTGTTCAGGATAGTAACTAGCCCGATTATCGATCGGAATCTCGCTGCTCGTACAGAAAAATGTTTCGTTTTTATGGAGCCGTCAATCAAGCAAAGTGAATTTCTTACTAACCCAAGTATGAACCACCTTTTCATGGAATTGGATCTTTCCGGCTCTGTCTTAAAACCTCAGTTCAACCAAACGCATGTTTTATAATGCCCTTTTCGAAGTAGTAGACCATTAAAATAACCACACTCATTTGGGGGAGGACTGGGTTGGTGGGCGCAGTCCTCCGAGGGATGAGGGTGATGGTGCCTCCCTCAGTAATACCTTTTCAGGTCAACATTTGACCTGAATAGACCATAAGGGTTTACGGAATTCTTAAGGACCTGTGGACAAGAATCGAACTAGACCCGAGTTATCCTTAGAAGAAAAAATGTCTGAATTGTTCGGTGGTTTTCTACTGTA